GTCCACTCAGTTGGTGCCGGCTTCAACTGTCGCTTCCAATCACTTGTCCAGTTCTGCAGCGACGCACGACGACAGTGATGTTTCTGCTGCCTCAACCTCAGAAGCCAGCGTGCATGCCATGTCCATGGCATCGCTGAACAAGGTCAGCTACCCCTCAAAAAAAAAAAAAAAAAAAAAAAAAAAAAAAAAAAAAAAAAAAAAAGCAAAAAGCAAAAAGAGCGTGGTAATAGAGAAACTCGCGTGCCAATGCTCTTTGCCACAGTCGCTCAATTACATGCCCTTTTGTCGCGGATTCGGCATGTCATTCTTGGTAGTTGGTGGATCAACACTTGGGCGCCACGCGCTTGAAGCTTGCCGAGCTTGTGTTTGCCGTGGGCAAGGGCCACAAGGTGCGCGCACGCCACTGTGACCATATTCAAGTCGAAAACATGTGTCTCACGCAGTCGTGTTCTAAACCAAACCTCGTACAGGTGTATCGCTTCCCGCTCTGCGGGCCGCAATGATTAAATGCAAGGGGATGGTCCTGATGGGCATCATTTCTATCATTTCTCGACTGAGGGCGTGAGGCCCGTGGTATTCCAGGCCACGCAGTCGGCAAAGCGGGCCCCGCTACCGCCAAAGACATCCAATGCACTAGTATCACGTGGGTCACAGGGGCCATTCAAGTGTGCGGGTTAGAGCCAAGACTTGAGAGAGACCGACTCGAAATTGAAAAAAAAAAAAAAAAATAGCTTCTCCTGAATCAAAGGTTGGATACAGACCTGCCGATGGTCAAGTCTACGCGGCCGTGGGACAGCGTGTGGACCTAAAATTCATTCCAAGGGCGGGTAGGCACGTGGGTGTGGGTTTGATTGAAGGGGTGATCAACGTCCCTTGAGTGAGGGGCTCAAATGCGACCGGCACCGCGATCAGTGGCTGTTGCCAGCTACGCACTAGCTGAAGGTCGTCGAGGTTTCGGGCGCCACCGGCATAGGTCACAGGCAGAGGGCTCCAGTCGGCCAAGCAGCGGACCAAATCCTAGCATCAAGAGGTGCAGGAGGGTGTTCAACGTGAGAGCAAGACAAGGGGAAGGCCGCAACTGAGTTTGAAAACCAACCTCATCGATGCCTTGGCAGAGGCCCTCAACATCGGCTGCATGGACCAAGAATTCGCAGCAATACTTGCTCAGGCGGTCGAGCGTGGCCTATGGCAAGAACATGAGAATCGGAGAGGGAGTAGGTGCATGCGTGAGTAAGGTTCTAGTTGGCCTCGTGGGTGCGGTGGTTGGCTCAGGGGAGGTCAACCACCATCAGCATATTTTGGATCAACCCCCTCGCTGGGCCTGCACGCACCTGTGTGATCTCCAGGTCAGTTACAACTTGCCAACGCTGAATGGCTGCAATCAATGAAAGGATGCGGGCGAATTAATCGAGGCAAGGGGACAGGGACGGCGAGCGCCTACAGAGCGGTCCAAGCGACACGTACCGACAAACCAGCCCTGAGTGCCTGGCTTGCGCCGGCAGCTGAGGTCGAGGACAAGGCGCTCACGCCCAACAGTGTCAACGAGCTGCTGGGCCCGGGCCTCGTCAAATTTGCCATCCTTAAAGAGCCAGCTTGTGACAATGACCTGCAAGCGTTGGTCATCAACATATCCGATTTGAGGCAGGGACGAGAGCGTGTCACGGGAAGGGCTGGGTTGCAGTCGAGTTTCAGATGGCAAGGCTCAAGTGTGCGAGAGAAAAACGGATATTCACCTTGGATGCCCCAGCAGCAATCCATTCTGCGGCGTTGGCTGCTGTGATACCACCACCCAGTTGCAAGTGGTCTGGCCAAGCCTGCAAGATTTGGGCAGGGTTGTTATTTATGAGTGGTCAGAGAGCTGCGTGGCGAGTCGGTCGATCGGGGGGGCATATGATGGTAGAGAACGAACCGCCAGCGCATCACGGGCTGCATCGTCGTTACCGGGGCCCAGCTTGATGACGTGCCCGCCTTCTAGTTGGTGCTGCCAATCAAGGGATTGAGATACGGGGCTTGAGTGCACGTGAGCTGGGACGCGTACGGGGCCCTGTGGCAATGGTGCTGACCTGGGCGTAAAGGTCGGCAAAATAGCGCGGCGGGTGGGCTGAGACAAAGTTTGTCTTGACTGCGTCGGCCTTGTCATCGCTCAGAGTGCCGCCCACAATCTGCTTCACCTATGATCGCAGTGGAGCGCGTGGCACCGCCTTGTTGAGCAGAGGCGCTTTTGGACGAGCCTGGTTCTTTGAGAAACCTCGGGTTTAGGAAATACATGAAGAAGAGCCACATCGCGTGCGATCGTCTCACTTGTCCATCGTGAAGATCAATACAAGGGCGAAACAGGCTACGGCGAGACGAGGCCAGGTCGAGGGCCGGGGCGGCGTTGGCTGCTGCCATTTCACGCCGTCGCTCCAAGAAATCGGAGACACTGGATAGGCGAACACAGTGGCAATAACCATTACAATCACCGGAAATGTCAGACTTATATTGGTATCATGACTGCATACGCACGCTACCGCGTCCGCCTTTTTCTAAAAATAGCGTATCTCAATTTCCCATGCTGGGCATTGCATTTGGTGGTGGACGAGGCTTGCGAGTGTGGCTGCGGCTATGTGGAACCCATACGCCACCCACATTCACCAATCTGCACCGCGCTCGCGCTGAATGGTGTGTGTGGTGGGAATGTGGACTACATGCACCGTCCCCTTCTGTTGACCATGTCCTTGATTGTTGTACACACAAGTGTGGTCCGGTTTCGCCTTTTGCCCATTGCTAAGTGTGGTGCAGGTATGGTGCAGAGCCTATGTACGGTCCTTTCTCTCCAGGCCAAAACTGGCCTCTGCCCCGCCCCCCTGCCCCAAAAATAACGCTTGCTCACCCATCAGCACACCCAACACAAGCGAGCTCGCGCCTTGCTAAATCCCAAAGGAGCACCTTTTCTGCTTGTCCTATGTTTGGTCGGTTGCGTTGTTGAGGTGG